TCAAAGAGAAGAGCCTCGGAAACGTAAATCCACCAAAAAAAAACGGAAAACATTTTTAAAAAACCACTTTCTTAAATTTTAAATTATGCGTGTTTGTAACTAAAACCTACCAAAACCTTTTCATATCGTACCTATATAAGTAAAATGTCTGCGAAATTATTCCATAGAAGATAGAAGTTGGGACCTGAAGTCACTAGAACATAGACTTTGGCTAGAACCTTAGAACCCCTTTTTAAGCACTCTTTCGACCAGTAGCTTGTTACAGGGAAAGCAGAATCAAATTCTTTGGTAATTTTGTTCCATACAAAACTTTCTTCTTGATTTGTCGTCTTATCTGCCTCTTTATTTTCGATGGTACCTTTGTATCTGGTCACTATATTGATAAAATTTCATTTTCCGAAAAGTTTGAGGATCGACCCTTTTTTTCTTCCTTCTCCTCCAAAATAAAAAATGGAAAAATTGAAAGGAATATTAGAAGAAACCTAATTAATGTCATCATTAACATCAAAATATTTGCGTCAGAAATGAGTGTTAAGTTAACTTGTACTCTATGACTAGTACCAATGTTCTCGATTTTTAGTGAAATTTCCTAGATCCCTAGTTAAATTTTAAGCTTTACCTGAAAAATCCCGGTGCAAGGCTTTAGAAATTAATCTGCTCTCAACTTTTAACTTGTCCGTTAATTAAACTGATCAGTTAGACAAAACGGTGCAAGTGGGCATAAGTACCCTAAATTTTACCTGCAGCTTTCACCTGTATAGGTATAGAATGGTTCACAAAATCAGTAGTAGGATAGTATTTTTACAATTTTTGGAGCCGAATATATGAGAGACTGTTCAATCAAATAGGTATAGACAAATTATATATTTTTGGAATCGGGGCATTGTGCTCTTCAAGAATATACAATGAAATATAGGGCATCCCATTTGAACAATTAAAGCTGGAAGCACGCAAAATTTCACATTTCTCACATTCAAATTTTGTTTCTGACCATGGTAAAAATTCAGCCAAAATTGTACAACTTTTGTATTTACACCTTTCTTATAAATAAAACTCAAATAATTGACAACATTGCTTAAAACCAAGAAACTTTTGTATTTATATTTTTTTTTGTACACCCTGTAGTTTCTAAGAAAAGACATAGGCCCCTAATAAAATTTCCACCCTGTACATACATACCTCAAATTTAACCTGCACCTTTCACCTGTACAGGTAGAATGGTTCACAAAATCAATAGTAGGATAGTATTTTTACAATTTTTAGACCCGAATATGTGAGAGACTATTCAAATCAAATATAGACAAACTATATATTTTTGGAATCGGGGCATTGTGCTCTTCAAGAATATAGAATGAAATATAGGGCATCCCATTTGAAAAATGCTGGAAGCATGCAAATTTTCACATTTCTGACATTCAAATTTTGTTTCTGATCATAGTTTTTAAAAATTCAGCCAAAACTGTACAACTTTTGTATTTACACCTCCCATCTACCTGTAAAGATAAAGGCTGTGGGTGGGGTGTCAATGTATCAAAAAACACCCTGTACAAATAAGTGGATTATTGCGGAACTTATGGGTGGACCTATGCGGGACGGGACGAGCGCAGCGAGTTCCGCAGCCATCTAATCACCAATATACTATTGAACTGTTCAAGTAAGACATTCACCTAAAATGGCTAATTTTTAAACAAATGAGAATGAGAATAACGCACATTTGAGTGAGTCAGTATAGTATCATAATTAAACAAACATATTGATGAATAGATGGCTGCGAAACTCGCTGCGCTCGTCCCGCAGATGTCCACTCATAAATTCCGCAACAAACCACTCGTTTGTATTTGAATAACTTGTCACATTATATTACTAGTTTGGTAAAGTAACATTACTAATTCCTGTTGAAAGGCAAATTGACAAAAAGTGGATTCTGAACATTATAAACTAGTCAAAATGAAATAAGGACCACTTTTACTTTTATAATTACTTTTCATTCTTCTGAATTCTGAATTTTTTTTTTAATGAAAACTGCAGCATAATGACAAAACATTAACGTTTAAAAAAAGGCAAAAAAAAATCTAATTTTTGAAAAACTAATTAAATGATTACCAAAAAAACTGAAAAAAAAATTAATTTCCAGATTTACCAAAATTTATTTATTTCTTCTAAAAATGGATAATTAATAATTGGAATAGACTCCTCGAACTCGTGCGACCTCTGCACACTGACGGGGCATAGATTCAATTAAATTGCTAATTATCCCTTCTGATGTTACGCCACTCTTCCTGGAGCATGGCTTCAAGCTCCACCAAATTTTGGGGGGACTGGCGAGTCCTTATCTTTCTTTTAAGATAATCCCAGAGATGTTCGAAAGGGTTAAGGTCTGGAGAGTTTACTGGCCACTCCAAAACCTCAATATTTTGCTCCTGGAGGAAGTTATGGTAACTATCCTGGCAGGGTCTCGCATTGTCATGTTGCAAAATAAATTGAGGGCCTTCCTCGTCGGCAAATAGCAATATATAGGGTTGTATAATGTCCTCTGAATACTGACGAGCATTCAGATTGCCACCATGAAACACATGTAAATGGGTGCGCCCCGTTAAAGAAATACCACCCCAGACCATAATAGAGCCACCTCCAAAATGAACGGTTTCGCTCACATTTCGATTCAGATATCGCTCACCTCTACGTCTCCAAGTTCGTACACGGGCATTGTGGCGGAAAATATGAAAATTGTTTAGTGGACTGTATGATTTGAAAAAAAAAATGGAAATAAATGTTTTAACCCGGTATGCACAGATCACTTACCTTTGAAAAGGTTTCTGTTGGTTCTCTGGGTACTGGTCCAAACTGAAACGTGTTGACTGTAGCAGAGTACTCTGTAGCTTCTTAGGGCAGTAAAATAGGGGCAGTTTCGTTGTAGTGACCGAACCGTCCGATACGACACGAATTTGTACGGGTCGCATAGCGAGAGTGTGTTGTCTACTCTGCGGCCGAGAATATATTTTATTTTTAAAATCTCGGACAAGGTAGCATAAAATGCAGCTACTTCCAGCAGCAAGTGACGTGTGCGCATATGATAAACGAAAAAAGTCGCTAATAAAAAATATATGCACAATCGAACTTTGTAGATTGCTCTACACAAACTAAAATAGGCAAAAACCCCTTTTGAGAGTTTCCTAAACAGGCATCATTGTGGTTTAGTCTAAATCTGGACTCATCTGTAAACAAAACGTGTCCCCACTGATCCGTATTCCAATTTGAATGATTGCGACAAAAATTTCGGTGTGCTCGGGTCAATTGTGGTCTCACAGCTCTAACTCTGGACCGCATACCACTTGCGTGAAGTCTGTTCTTTACAGTTTGTGTGGGTATTCGCCTTCCTGTGGCAATAAAATGTAGACCAACAATGTTCTGTGCTGTCCTTGCTGTATCTTGCATAGCCCATCTCACCAAATTACGGTCTTCACGTGCTGTTGTTGCCATTTCTCTTGGAGGATAAGGTCTTCTTGTGACTATGCCAATCTCTCAATGTCTAAACGAACCAGTTAAGTCTCATTTTCTGGAGGCAGCCAGCTTTTCAAATAGATTACATTAATTTTGTTCATCCGCTTTAGTTTTTCTCTCACCTATATAGATTTTTATTTTACACAATTAATATAATAGTTCAAAGAAAATTTAACTTCTCCATGGCACCACGTAAATACTACTCTTAGTGCAGAGGTGATTGCCTGTCTGTATTTTGGGTGTCTGAGCTAAATAATGAGTTTTTTTTTTCTTCTATATATATTAAAAATTCATATGTTATGTTGATTGTCATCTGTGTTTGTGGGTCCCTTTGTTTTTAACAGAATATTACATTACGACTGTAGAAAGTGACAAATTTCACACGAGTGTATGAAAGATGCTTTCTCACAAGTGATGTACACCATTTTTCCTACGACCAGAAATCGATTTACACCAATTTTTTCTTATTTTATTTTTTTTTTATTTTCAACACACCCCAAAAATTTCGAGGTGCTAAAATCCCAAAAAATATAACTAAACTCAATTAGTAAAAGCATTTTGGTAGTCATTTTAATTAGAAAAGTACCTACGTCAGTTGCAAGATAATTTAATCTCAACTAATTAAATCTCCTAGCAATCCAGCATCTAATTCCGTATAAAAATAGTATAAATAAAAAATGACGAAATTTCTAAGCTCAACTCAAATTACGTAACAATTTTTTTACCAACACAAGCGATAAGCGACCGGATGTCAAAGTTCGATGTCCCCAATTAATAGACTCTTGCGACATTCCGATAAAAAAAAGTCAATAAAAAATTATAAAATTAGGACGCGTTTAACCGGAAATCACTATACTCATGTGGTTTAATTGCGTAATAACTGATAAACTAGAACACCGGTGTTTCCGCTGGATGTTGCATCATATCCTTAATAAAAACTTAAACAAAAAAAAACAATTGTTGGAAAACAACAATGTCGTTTATCACTCGATAAACGAGGTCAAATAAGAGGATTGGTTCGAGAAATGCTAAATGACCGCCCACTTACCAGATTTTTGGTGGGAATTGAGTACTATTTAAGCAGGTTACAATCAGAAAAAGGAAGATAACATCCAGCAGTTGATTTGATAGTAAGATTTTAAAAACCAAGAAAATTGGCAGTGAGTGAGTCTCCACCAAAAAGTTTTTTTTTTTCTTTGTTTTGCCTCGGGCAAAAAGCTAAAAAGTTTGCGATTAACTATTGTCCAGTAAGAGTCATGAAGTAGTATCAGGTTTTCCTTTGTTTGTGCGTGCTAAATAACTGAAAGTAATTTTGATCGTTTGTGTATTTGAGGACAGATTTACAACACTATTAATCAAGAGATGACTGCGGTCGTCCCGCAGAGGTCCACCCATACAATCCACTCGTTTGTACTTGAATAAATCACTTCATGTCTGAATAGAGTCATCAGAGCTCAACAGACGTGAGTCAAAGTTCCGAGCAATTGAACTAAAACAAATTAAAATAGGTAATAATCTATTAACTTAAAAATAATTACAAAAAGGAGACTCTTGATTTAAGTAACTGTTAAAATGTACATACAAAATATAATTTATTATTACAAAAACGTTGGGAACTCAATAGTTTGTTATATCAATCTTTGGTATTATGCTAAGATGGGCAGTGTGTATTTTTCAAAAAAATAAAAATCAAGGTTCTAATTCAACCCTCCTGAAGCAGCCAACAGGCAAAGCATCAACAATATGCTTAATATTAGCCACATCTTTAGTCATTTCTTCAATTTTCAATTTGTAGTCGTTTATCTGACTGCTCTGAGCCTTGTGCTCGTCTTGCAACTTAATCAATTTGTCTTCCAATCTTGTTTCGTTAATTTGCCTTTCTACGTTTAGAATTTCCTCATCTAATCTGTCCAGAGAGGCTTCGTCAATGTCTGGGGAATTGTTTAATTCGGCTATTATGTTTTGGACGTCTTTAACTAATTGAGTTATGTCTTCTGATACTTTAGCTGTTTCTTGGACGGCTTTACCAACATTGGCTTTAGCTTGTTCGACTAATTTAGCATCACCTAATGGAGATTCAAGTAGGATTTGTAATTTGCTTTCAGCTTCTTCAACTTTTTCGGCCATTTTTGCATCAGCTTCAAATAATTGGTTTGTGTCTTTGTTTAAATCTTCTGCTTGTTGTTTGATGCCTTTAAGCTACAATAATTGAAAATAATAATATTTATTATATTTATATATAATTACTTACGTTTTCTGAAGCAATTATTTCCTCTTCTTTGGCTTGCAAAGCATTTCTCAAAGCCTCATTGGCGGTTTCACTTATAGCAACCAACTCTAGTTGTGCATCGCTGGTTTTTCTAACAATATCAAACAAAATTTGCTCAATTTCTGGTATAGTTTTAAGGGCGTCTTCGGCTTCCTGGCGCAATTTCTGAGTGTCCGAATCTGAGCTTTTTAAATCATTGTAAATGCGTTCAGCTTCTGATAGTTTCTGAGTCCATTTGTCGATGGTTTTTACTACAGTGTCGTTGGCTGCGTGTATATCGTCTACCAATTCGGTTAAGATTTCTTGTTGGTTGTAGGCTTTTTCCAAGAGTTGGTTGCCTTTTCCGTTTTTCTCTTCAATGAGGTCTCTTAATTCTTGACTTCTGTTAAATAGCGATTCAGCTCTATCTCTTAATCTTCCAGCTTCAGCTTTTAAGCTGCTAGAGCTTTTGCTTAATTCAGGTACGTCCACTGGAGGCACAAACAAATTATTGACTTCATTGAGAAGCTCCAAAGCTTGGTTTTTGACTTCTCTAGCTTTATCGCTGACATCTTGCGTAAAATCTATGGTTTTATTTAATCGATCTTCAGCTTTGTCTATTTCGTTTTTCAATTTGTTGGCTTTTTCTCTGACCAGGCTCTGATCTGTGTTGGCTTTTTTGGCCAGCTCATACACTTCGCTCGATTTATTTTTAGCTTCTTTAGCTGCGTTTTCCAAAAGGGTTGCTTGCTGGTCCAAGTCGTCTGCTAATTCTCTGGCTTGCTGAGCTATTTTGGTCATGTTATCGGATTGTTGGCCCACTTGTTTGCTACGCTCCCAAGCATCTTGTAGGGCTTTTTTGGCATCTTGTTCGAATTGGGTGCTGATTTCGTTTAGGCTTTGCTCGAGCTAAAATAAATATTTAATTTTAATTTAAAAGTGTATGTATTACCAGCATTCACAATAGGATATCTCGTGTAGGTACACCCTGCAGGAGATATCCAAAACTGTTTAGGAAAATCTTGGGGGTTTTGAGGAGGGAAATCTGAGGAGATCTATGGCAGATATGGGGGAAATCTGATGGAAATATCACTGAATAAGACCGTGTGTAAGTTCAGAATTCAATTTTCTATTGACTGAGAATATTCGAGAAGATATCATGTTATCAGGTTTTCCATACTGAAAGAAAAACATTCTACCTCATTTGAATTAAATATAGCTTTGATATTGCCACAAAAGTAATGGATCAAGATGAGAAAATGTACATGTGTTAAATAGAAGATCTACAGAAATTGTGTTCTGGCTGTGCACTTGTGCTGATATCCAGCGAAATCTTGGAAGATTTAAGGAAATCTGGAGAAATCTTAGGAGGGTCCCGGGTAATCTGGGTAAATTACCACGAAAGTAATGAATCAAGATGTGAAAATGTACAAGTGTTAAGGAGGAGATCTACAGAAATTGTGTTCTGGCTACGCACTTGTGCTAATATCCAGCGAAATCTTGGTAGATTTAAGGAAATCTTAGGGGGGTCCCGGGTAATCTGGGCAAATTGCCACGAAAGTAATGGATCAAGATGAGAAAATGTATATGTGTTAAGGAGAATTTAAGATCTACAGAAATTGTGTTCTGGCTGTGCACTTGTGCTGATATCCAGCGAAATCTTGGGAGATTTAAGGAAATCTGGAGAAATCTCAGGGAGGTCACCAGTAATCTGGCAAATTGCCTTGAAAGTAATGAATCAAGATGAGAAAATGTACATGTGTTGAGGAGAAAATCTACAGAAATTGTGTTCTGGCTTTGCACTTGTGCTGATATCCATGCGAAATCTTGGGAGATTTAAGGAAATCTGGAGAAATCCTAGGAGGGTCCTGGGTAATCTGGACAAATTGCTACAAAAGTAATGAATCAAGATGAGAAAATGTACATGTGTTAAGGAGAAGATCTACAGAAATTGTGTTCTGGCTGTACACTGTGCTGATATCCAGCGAAATCTTGGAAGATTTAAGGAAATATGGAGAAATCTTCGGAGGGTCTTGGGTAATCTGGGTAAATTACCACGAAAGTAATGAATCAAAATGAGAAAATGTACAAGTGTTAAGGAGAAGATCTGCAGGAATTGTGTTCTGGCTGATATGTACTTGATGTGCTGATATCCAGCGAAATCTTGGGAGATTTAAGGAAATCTGGAGAAATCTTAGGAAGGTCCCGGGTAATCCGAGTAAATTGCCACAAAAGTAATTATTCAAGATGAGAAAATGTACATGTGTTAAGGAGAAGATCTACAGAAATTATGTTCTGGCTGTGCACTTTTGTTGATATCCAGCGAAATCTTGGGAGATATGAGGAAATCTGGAGAAATCTCAGTGGGTTCCCGGGTAATCTGATGGACAAATTGCCACGAAAGTAATGAATCAAGATGAGAAAATGTACATGTGTTAAGGAGAAGATCTACAGAAATTGTGTTCCGGCTGTGCACTTGTGCTGATATCCAGCGAAATCTTGGGAGATTAAAGAAAATCTGAAGAAATCTTAGGGGGTCCCGGGTAATCTGGGCAAATTGCCACGAAAGTAATGGATCAAGATGAGAAAATGTATATGTGTTAAGGAGAACATTTACAGAAATTATGTTCTGGCTGTGCACTTGTGCTGATATCCAGCGAAATCTTGGGGGATTTAAGGAAATCTTAGGAGGATCCCGGGTAATCTGGGCAAATTACCACGATAGTAATGAATCAAGATGAGAAAATGTACATGTGTTAAGGAGAAGATCTACAGAAATTATGTTCTGGCTGTGCACTTGTGCTGATATCCAGCGAAATCTTGGGAGATTTAAGGAAATCTGGAGAAATCTTAGGAGGGTCCCGGGTAATCTGGGCAAATTACCACGAAAGTAATGAATCAAGATGTGAAAATGTACAAGTGTTAAGGAGGAGATCTACAGAAATTGTGTTCTGGCTACGCACTTGTGCTAATATCCAGCGAAATCTTGGTAGATTTAAGGAAATCTTAGGGGGGTCCCGGGTAATCTGGGCAAATTGCCACGAAAGTAATGGATCAAGATGAGAAAATGTATATGTGTTAAGGAGAATTTAAGATCTACAGAAATTGTGTTCTGGCTGTGCACTTGTGCTGATATCCAGCGAAATCTTGGGAGATTTAAGGAAATCTGGAGAAATCTCAGGGAGGTCACCAGTAATCTGGCAAATTGCCTTGAAAGTAATGAATCAAGATGAGAAAATGTACATGTGTTGAGGAGAAAATCTACAGAAATTGTGTTCTGGCTTTGCACTTGTGCTGATATCCATGCGAAATCTTGGGAGATTTAAGGAAATCTGGAGAAATCCTAGGAGGGTCCTGGGTAATCTGGACAAATTGCTACAAAAGTAATGAATCAAGATGAGAAAATGTACATGTGTTAAGGAGAAGATCTACAGAAATTGTGTTCTGGCTGTACACTGTGCTGATATCCAGCGAAATCTTGGAAGATTTAAGGAAATATGGAGAAATCTTCGGAGGGTCTTGGGTAATCTGGGTAAATTACCACGAAAGTAATGAATCAAAATGAGAAAATGTACAAGTGTTAAGGAGAAGATCTGCAGGAATTGTGTTCTGGCTGATATGTACTTGATGTGCTGATATCCAGCGAAATCTTGGGAGATTTAAGGAAATCTGGAGAAATCTTAGGAAGGTCCCGGGTAATCCGAGTAAATTGCCACAAAAGTAATTATTCAAGATGAGAAAATGTACATGTGTTAAGGAGAAGATCTACAGAAATTATGTTCTGGCTGTGCACTTTTGTTGATATCCAGCGAAATCTTGGGAGATATGAGGAAATCTGGAGAAATCTCAGTGGGTTCCCGGGTAATCTGATGGACAAATTGCCACGAAAGTAATGAATCAAGATGAGAAAATGTACATGTGTTAAGGAGAAGATCTACAGAAATTGTGTTCCGGCTGTGCACTTGTGCTGATATCCAGCGAAATCTTGGGAGATTAAAGAAAATCTGAAGAAATCTTAGGGGGTCCCGGGTAATCTGGGCAAATTGCCACGAAAGTAATGGATCAAGATGAGAAAATGTATATGTGTTAAGGAGAACATTTACAGAAATTATGTTCTGGCTGTGCACTTGTGCTGATATCCAGCGAAATCTTGGGGGATTTAAGGAAATCTTAGGAGGATCCCGGGTAATCTGGGCAAATTACCACGATAGTAATGAATCAAGATGAGAAAATGTACATGTGTTAAGGAGAAGATCTACAGAAATTGTGTTCTGGCTGTGCACTTGTGCTGATATCCAGCGAAATCTTGGGAGATTAAAGGAAATCTAAGGGGGATCTCGGGTAATCTGGGCAAATCAGTGGATATCTTTTGCATAAAGATATCTCTTGTACATTTAAATATGTTGTAAAATTACTTACAGTTTCAAGCACAATATCAGTATTATCTCCAATTCTTTGAGCATCGTCAGTCTTAGCTTCAATCCCGTCAAGATTTTCTGTAACGGTTTCCAAAGTCCTAGCAATTTCCTTTTCTCTTTGTCTAATGTCTTGCACTTGATGTATAATGCTGTCCTCGCCAGTAGCTGTTTTGACTTTGTCATAAAACTCGTCAATATCGTCTTGCAGCTTACTCAGCTCTATCGGAAATTCTTCGTCAGCTATTACTGTAGGCCTTCTTTCGACTTCATTAAGAATGTCATCTAATTTATCTAGTTTAAGGTTGTGGGCTCTGGAGGCGTTTTGTACCAAGTTATAACAATCAGGACAATCAACACATCCTCTATGTCTATCATATTTATTTTCCTTACACCTATTGCACCTACGTCCTTCAACATTGTCAAGACAAGGACATTGACCGGAAGCGTTACATTGCAAATCATTTGAACCAATCACGTCGCATTCACAATCCTTGCAACCTTCTGAAGAAAAACCGTATTTTCTTGCTTCACAATGATCACAGCGCAATCTATAGACCAACTCAATTACAATTTATAAGTGTTATGTATTAGAAACTCATACCCTGTGACACCTGGTCTGCAATGGCACTGTCCAGTATACAAATTGCAAGTTGAGTTAAAGGCGCCAATCGGGTCACAATTGCAAGACTGACAGCCTTCGCCACTCTGCAAATTGTAAAAACCGTCTTCGCACTGGTCGCAGTTTCTTCCCACAACTCTGTTTTTGCACAGACAAGCTCCAGTGCTCGAATCACAAATTGGTTCTTCCAATGAATCAGCTTCAGTGCCTACCAGGTAGCATTCGCAACGTTTACAGTCGCCTTTAGGCAGAACCAGTGCATTTCCGTAGTAACCTATAGTTTGATTTTATATAAGTAAAATATTCTATTTAAAATTAAGTTTTTTACCTTGTAAGCAAATATCACAGCTGCTTCCGCCTGTATTGTGCACACACCTCAGACATTCTCCCGTTGTAGTGTTACAATTTCCTATAGCGTTTGTATCGATGTTTTGATTGCATTCGCACACTTGGCACGGCGAAGGAGTTCCAAACCTACCAGTAGGGTCTCCATAATATCCATCTGAGCAAACATCACATCTGTGCCCAGAATATCCAGTGGGACATTCCGTACACATGGTCACGTCTTCAGAAAGCTGGAAACAAGCTCCACCATCTGGACAATTGCAAGGCAAACAATCTTCTGGAGTACCTAAGAAGATACTTAACTTGTTAATAAAATATTGCTGAGTCATTTAAGATTTTACCTGCAAGTGCGTTTCCATAAAACCCTCTGGCGCACAACTCGCAATTCTCCCCGGAAGTGTTATGCTCGCAAATACACCTGCCAGTTTCTGAATCGCAAATGCTGGCGTGATTATTGCAGTCACAAGGAATACAACTGGTAAATGGACCTCCGTGAGCTGGAGAATGTCTGAAACCTGGTGCACAAGATTCGCAAAACTGCCCAACATATCCGGCTGGACAATCGCAAAATTCCATCCACAATGCCGGAAGCCCTGCGGCACCTCTCGACGCCGTTTCCAGCTTGACGTCGTCCAGAAATCCGACGCCTTGAGGTGAATATGTGCCTCGTATTTTAATTGCAGTCAGATTTGTTAGGATTGAAATAAATTCTCTTGATGTCAATCTTGGTTGCCACTGAAAATCTGGATGTTCGTGCAATCTGAATTTGTAAGTTTGAGTTTGTAGGCTTGGGAATTCGTTTTCTTGAGCGAATATTGTGTTTGTTATGCGGTTGCCGTTGCCTTCTAAGACAATGTCTGCCGCTGTAGGCATTGGACGAGTGTCACCAATTCTAAAACTGAACTCCAATAGTTGGTTGTAGGAGGCTCTCTGATCCCCCAAAAATCTGTCGGGGGCCAAAAAATAAACAGACTCCTCTTCTTGGGCTTGCACCGCAATACTCTGGCTAATAGATTCGTATTTTGTTTGAATATTCCTGTTGTACTGATCTTCGGCTCGCCATTTTTCTGAGCCTTTAGCGAAGCTGGATTCTAAAGCGTATCGGGAATAGCCAGGAGCTGATTGACATTTGGATGAATGCCCGTAGCAGAAGCAGGGAGTGCAACCAAATTCGTTGTCCAAGTCTAAATTGAAGAAGCCTGGTTTGCAGCCTTTGCATTGTTTGCCTTCAACGTTTTCCTTGCAGTTGCACACACCGTTGTTGGGGTTGCAATTGGGTGCGTTGAACGCCGAACCTTCTTCGGAACATTCACAATTTTTACAGCCGGATTTGGTGAAGTCGTAATGGTTGTCTGCACACCTGGAATTTTACAATTTAGTTAGCAGAATATAGGAAAATTTGATTCTTATACATACTTGTCGCATTTGTCTCCGCTAACTCCAGGTTTGCACTGGCACTTGCCTTCGGTGTTGCACTGCTGGAACATCGAGCCGGTTTCGTCACACTGGCAAGCTACGCAAAACCCGTCCTCTCTCATGTAATAATTGGGGCGGCATCGTTCGCAGTTGGGTCCGTCTCTGTTGGCGGAACAGTCCAGACAGTAACCGCCGTGGCCTGTTTGTTCGTAGAGTTTTGCGTCGAAGACGCATCTGTTTGAGAAGTTGTTGCAGTTGCATTCTGGAAAATGTAATGTAATGTAATGTAATGTATGTAAAAAGTGGGCTCACAAATGAAGAAATTCTTGCAGAATATTCGAAAGTTACGAGTAGGGAGTATATAGGCGTTCTGGGCCAAAACAGAGACGAGACGAAGAGACACTCCCCCTACCTTTCAAGATATATACTAAACACATAACCATCCCCCTATTTTATGCTGGTTTTGTGCTGGATTTTGCTGGTTTTATGCTGATTTCCACTGGTTTATGAGTTGAGTGGTAGGGGAGTGTCTCTTTGTCTCGTCTCTGTTTTGGCCCAGAACGCCTATATACTCCCTACTGTTACGACGAAGAACTGGAAAGGTTTGATTTTTTCCTGAAGTTTCAAAGGAAATGGAATAATGGAGTGGGAAAAGTTGTTGCTGATGTATATTTGATCAAGTTGTCTAGGAGTTTCTGGAGGATGGTAGATGAGTGAGACATAGGTTAGATTGAGAAGACCTTACCATGTCTATTTATGATATTTTTGAGATAGGATTTTCACAGAAGTAATTTTTGTCGTGTATAGACATATATTTTCTCTATCCCAGCTTCTTGAATTGTATTTATTTGGAAAAATTTGTACAAAATAGCCATTCAAGAGCCGGAAATAAATGAAAAATGACAAAGAAAATTTAATAAAAATTGAGAAATGGAGAGAGGAAATTGAAAAGAAATCGTGAGAAGGCAGAAGACCCTGATGTTGGATAAAATAAAACTCTTGACAGAAGAAAACGACATGTCCAATGCAAAGAATCAAATCCATGGACAAATAAATTACACATAATAGAGAATAAATGCTCAAGACAATGAAGAAAGATGCTGACGCACATTCAAAATGTAGATGATATTGATAAAAAGGACCTGAATTTTTGAGTTAAAAACCAAGTTACGTAAATATAAAAAGCAGCCTATTGGTATCAGTAGCGGCTCGTGACTATTTCAAGTGAAGAGGCTAAAAAAATGACGAATTACGGTAAGGTAACCACTGCGCAGCAGATAACATTTGTTTTGGGGTGCTCATGCCCTCAATAATTTATCTCAAATTCAATAAAAACCATGAAAACCATAATATAAACATTAAATTTTGTTAGATTTTTAAAGATTTTCAGTGATTTTAAGTAGATTTTACGAGTTTTTCTGGGATTTTGACCAAATTGTATACAAATTTTCATCAATTAACCGCTCAAAGTTTAGTTAACTCCAGAAAATGTGTACATAATTGAATCTTTAGGCATTGATTTTGTAGGATTTTGAGGATTTTGAAAAAACTTCACGTGATTTTAAAAGATTTTAGATTTATAAGATTTTAGGTGATTTAGGATCATTTTAGGAAATTTAAAAACGGATTTTATAGCGTTTTTACCAACTAATTTAGGAGAGCCCTAATGATAAATATTCCATGGGAATTCTGCGAAAATTTTTGTTAATTCCATAGAAATTCCTCAGAATTTCACTAGAAGATTTTATGGAAATCCTTGAAATTCCATTCAAATGACAAATTTGAATAGAAAAACAGAAAGTTCTAGAAATTTTATCATAAGATTTCATAATACTTTTCCGAATTCCACCATAAAATTCAATGGAATTCTTGTACAAACATTCCTCGGAATTACAGTAAAAGATTTCATGGAAATTTCGACAAAAATTACTCAGAATTTCACTAAAATTTAATTCAAGTCTTCGGACTTTTTCGTGGTTCTATGGAAATTACACGGAATTTTTTTTTCAATTCCGAGGGAATTTTTCGGTTTCGATATAATTTCACTGGATTTCCACAATAAGATTTCAAGGAATTCCATGTACCTACGACTATTTCTTGGAATTTGTCCAACATCGAACACAATTCTCCAAATTCTCTATAAATTTTTCCAAATTTCCTATAAATTCCCCAAGTTTCTAACAAAGAATTCCAAGGTGGTTTGCCTCTTGAAAAATACAGTCTCACACTTTCAAAGTTTTCCTGGAAAACTAATTGAGGGAAAAGTTGAAACTTTTTGCATATAAAGAGGAAGATTTGAAGCTTATTTTCTCAAAATTTCAAATTTTTCCATTGGAAAATAACAACATTAAGAATCTTGGAAATCAACCTACAATAACTGGATTAATTGAAAATACAGTCTGACACATTTCAACATTTTCTTGGAAAACTAGTGAACGGAAAAATTTGAAACTTTTTGCATGTGAAGAGGAAAGTCAGAGACTCATTTTCCCATAATTTCAAATTTTTCCATTGGGAAATAGCAACATAAGAAAGAAATCTTGGAAATCAACTTACAAAAGCTGAAATAATTGTTAATACAGTCTCACGCAATTCAAAGTTTTCCTGGAAAACTCGAGGGAAAACTAATTAAGAGAAAATTTTGAAATTTTTTGCATGTAAAGAAGAAAGTCAGAGGCTTATTTTCCCAAAATTTCAAATTTTTCTAGTGGAAAATGACAATATGAAGAATCTTGGAAATTAACCTCCAATAAGTCCAATAAATGAATTAATTGAAAATACAGTCTCACACATTTTAAAGTTTTCCTGAAAAGCTAGTGAGGAAAAAATTTTGAAACTTTTGAAAGATTTCGAAGGATTATTCACTGTGACAAAATTTCAGATTTAGAGCGATTTTGAGGGATTTCGGGTGATTTCGAAGGATTTCGGGTAAATTCGAAGGATTTCGGGAAATTTCGGAGAATTTCAGGTGATTTCACAAGGATTTTAATTTGACTTCAGACTGTTACTTATCTTATAAGTACTTATACTCAAAAGTGTATTAGTATAAACTGAAAAACGGCCGCGTTGGCCGATTTATGAATTTTGAGCCAATGACGAGGGATTTTTGGGTTTACGGAAAGATTTCGGAGTGATTTCGTGGATTTCGGACAAATTTGTGACACGATTTCAGCGAAGATTTCATCAAAATTCTTTGGAATTTCACTAAAATTTTAAGTTATTCCATTGGAATTCCGCGAAAATTTTAAGTAATTCCATAGAAATACCTTAACATTTCAAAGATTTCATGGAATTCTTGGACAATTTTTTTCGGAATTACAGTATAGGATTTCATGAAATTCCTCGGAATTCCACTAAGATTTCAATTTCAAAATTCCATATTTTTTTTTTAACTTTACTAAAATTCTCCAAAATTTTACCACTGAAATCCTGGTATTCCACAAAATTTTCATAAAATTCTTCGGAATTTCATTGACATTTTATGTAATTTCTTAAAAATTCCTCGGAATTTACTAAAATTTTTTGAGAATATCCTCGTTCATAGCCAAAAATTTCCCGAAAGTCCAGTGAAACTTCAAGGAATTTTTCAAAATTTAATTTATTTTCATAAGAATTTTTCGGAATTTTACTGAAATTCTCTTTTAATTGCCAGGAATTTCTGGGAATATTAATGAAGCTTCAAGTAATTTCCTAAAAATTCACCGAAATATATTGAAATTTCATGTCATTACATGGGAATTTTTTTGGAATATCACCGAAATTCCATGCTTTTAGCTTGAAATTCTTCGGCATTACTAAAATTCAGTAAAAACTGAAATTTCATGTTGGGAATTTCGGTGTGATTTCATATAATTGTTTAAAATTCCTCTATGTAATTCATTTAGGATTTCGTGTAATTCGATCGGAATTTCACTGAAATTTCGAATAATTCGAGATGAATTAAAATTTAATGTGAATTCTATGGAAACTCCGCAAAAATTTCACATCTAATTCCTTTTTCAGAATAACACTACCGAAATTCCTGGAAATTCCACTAAATTATGAAATTCTGAGACTTTACCAGATTTTTGGGGATTCCAAAAAATATTTGGGAACTTTAAAGGAAATATTTTTCAGGAATGTTAATGATTTTATTTTGAGAATTTCATACATCTGTCAAAACTGGTATTCCAACAATAAACTGACATGTTTTGATTGTTGATTTGAACCAATCAGATTGTAATTACGCGATAATTTGCACTACACCTTTTCCATGTGTAATTGCGAATATGTGACTTAATTTCAGGAATAGTAAACGAAAATTGCGAATAAATCAAATCTTATTGAGAATAGTCAGTTGATATTGCGAATATATTAAGTGTTATTGTCACATCAAATATAATTGAGAATAGTCAAGTGTAATTGCGAATATATCATTTGTAATTGACGATAATCAAATAAAGTAAGTAATTTTTCAATCAAAATCTGTATATTGTTGCTAAAATACCAGTCTATTGTTAAAGAAAGCTTTTGTTTACATATACATATGGGTAGTTTTGTTTGGCGACACCAAAATGGAATTTCGCGATAATAATTGTGCTATATGCAGATTGACGATGACGAGAAAGAGTCGACAGAGAAATTATTTGATGTCTTAATTATAATTGAATAATTCGCAATTACATTTGATAGATTCCACATTTCATTTGATTATCCCCAATTGCATATTATATATTCGCAATTATACTTAACTTTTTTCAATTACATTCGATATAATCGCAATTACATTCAACTTTTCCCAACTACATTTAATATAGTCGCAATATCACTTGAGTATTCGCAAAATCAATTGATGAATTCGCAATATAAATTGCTATATTCGCAATTACACATGTAAAAGGTGTAGTGCAAATTATCAGATAATTGCATAGTAACTGGTGCGAAAACTGGTGTTTTAACATTTTTTGACAAAAAAATTTAATTTTTGATTTATGAAATTCTCTCATTAAATACAACTCGTGCAATGGAAATATATTTATAATTTTAGACAAATTTGCACTCATGCGTTTTTAACTGAAAAATGCATTCGGGCAAATTTCCCAAAAATTATCAATAATTTCCATTGCACTTGTTATATTACTATTGAATATTTCCGATTTTTGATTGGCTCCAAATTATCCGCTGACCAATAGAATTACAGACTGGGGGGCCTCGTGATTAAAATAACTCTAGCCCTTCGGGCTCGCGTATAACTCCGGCCCTTCGGGCTCGCATATTACTCCGGCCCTTTAAGCTCACGTATAACTTTAGCCCTTCGGGCTCGCGTATAACTCCACGTATAACTCCGGCCCTTCGGGCCGGTATGGAAGTGTAATTTGTGAATTATTATTTTAATTAGAAATCAGGAATAAAGAAATGAGATTGAATTTTAAATTTTTTAGGGGAGGCTTAGTCACCCCTGCCTCCTCTGACGAGCCGCCACTGATTGGTATGCTTCCTGGTGGTACCACAGAGAATAATTTCTCATGAAAACCCGACACCCTTTAATCGTTTTTAATGGTGTAGCATGGGTTCCTCGGGTATGGGTTGGCAAAAAGGAAAGCGTACTTGTGTGGGTGGTGAAAGATTTTGAGTACCGATTATGTACCTGGAGATTTACTCGGTCTCGGAGGGACTTTACATTTAAATATTTATTAATATATTGGATGACTCAGCTATGCATTTGTCTTATCAAGTGGTTTGACTTGCAATTTGACTCCATAAGATAATCAAACTTGTTTGTGTTTTGAATATGGAAAAATCTTCTGTAAGATAAGTAAAGTCATAATTTGAATAAATTCGAAAATCACTTACGACTACCAGAAAACCAAGGCGTCAAACCGTCCCAAGTTAACCCGTCAGCAAACCGTAACAAAAATACACAAAAAACCAAATTCATTTTTACATTTTCTTGTAAGAGACGCAGCAGCGAAGATAAACCCGCGAGCCTTTCAAAATGCACACTAAGACCAAATCTTTACGCTAAAGGCCTAACCAGTACCTTAACGCCAACGCTCAAAATATACTGGTTCCTCATTAACATACCTAATGCGGTGAGATATGGGAACGATTTCAAGATGAAATAATTGCAACAAGTATGCGTGCTATGGGTAAATATCGACCAAACAGAAACCAAAAACCTGAAATAAATTGAATAGAAAACACGCCATTATATAACACGCAATCTTTATATAGAGTGTCTCATTTTACTTACGTTTACATTCATTCGCCCTCTGGATAGTAGCTCTTGCCCAAGGGGCGTCATTGTAAAACGGCAAACATTCGCCGCAATCAGGTCCAGCTGTGTTATGCTCGCACCTACAAACTCTAGTCTGGATACCACCCGCTCCGGTACTTGGTACGCACTCGGAAGCGTGACCGTTGCACTTACATCTAGCGCCCACCGCTAAATCGGCGATGGCATAAAAGTACGACTTAAGTACTTGCGAATCTCCAAATACTTCGTCGCCGAACGTGTTGATTCTGTCCAGGGTTACTCGGATGGCAGTTGCTGATACCCATTCCTATAAGTGAGACAATTTTGTTTAGTGGAAAGAATAGGTACCAACTAGAAACAAGGTTTGACTCAATAGTAAAGCAATAACAAAAGTTATTAATGCGAAATACATTTAATTTTACACAAACACACAAAAATACATTTAAATTGCCAATCCAAAAACGGTCACAACGCAATACATCGTCTTGTTTTCCCAGCGTACGGTGCAAGTACCATCGGTAGCGCTGTCCCAATAGCACGAGCTGGCAGTGTGCAATCCGGCTCCGGTTTTTTGCATTATTGAGCAAGTGACGACGTACTTGAAACTTTTCTTCAGCTTACTCAGAGCGCTGAGGCATTGCTCGGAAACCGTGGCGCTCCACTGGTTGACTTTCTCTTGAGTGTACGTGGTACCGGTCAGGAGGTTCTCGATGGTGTCTTTGACGATTTTCGTGACGTCCTCGACGACGAATTGGTTGTCGTCTTCGTCCATGTCGGTAATAAACGGGACAGGGGGTTTGGTTTTCGAGTTTTGACTTTGAACGTTGATTGACTTTTGATTTAGTCGTGACACCGACTTGGTGGTTAAAAGTTTACGGTTTTGAGGCGCCGTCATGATTCCGTGTGTATACGAATCGCGCGGTCGAAATTCAAATGGTAAATGATTGTGGGGTGTTGGATTTTATTCTATAAAGCGCACCCCGATGGGGGTTTGTTGATTCATGGCGCACGAAAGCAATATACACCGTGACGCAAATAATAACTTTTGTGTCGTGTTTGGCAAATAGTAAAACGTTGGGACGTTAGGACACCAATTTATTTTATTGGGGAAAATTAATATCTAGCACGCAGAATTTGCACAAAATTCTGAGGCCTAGAAATATTTTTACGTTGAGCTTTAAATTACCTGTAGTTCAGTGCTGGAGTCGAAATTATAAGCTGATGGCCGTCCTTCTAGAGTTCCAAAGGCCACGTTTCCTCCACGTAATGGAGAAATATCGGAATATTCCGATGTACACAACGCTCTGGTCTCTTCGCCTCTCGTCGTGTAGGGTTGATCTGGCAGGCCATAAGTGTCCCGACAAGTCGCACTAAAATAATTAATAATGACTTTAATTGTTTATAAAATTCTTCTTTGTGACGTCACTCCAAAAGTATTATTTAAAAACGACATGTTTTAAGAGTGGCAGTCTTGAATTGAGAATTGTTTGGAGGAATCAAGTAGCCCTCTAATATGGATACCAATGGGATGCCTTACATTTGGTTCTATATTCTTGAAGAGTACAATTTCCCGATTCCAAAACTATATACTTTGTCTATATTTGGTTGAGCCGGCTTCAACATATTTCCTTTTAAAAATTTTAAAAATACTATCAGAGCAACCAAGTACCTACCTCAAATTTTACCTGCAGCTTTCACCTGTACAGGTAGAATGATTCACAAAATCAGTAGTAGGATAGTATTTTTAGAATTTTTGGAGCCGAATATATGAGAAACTGTTCAATCAAGAATATAAAATGAAATATAGGGCATCCCATTCGAAAAAAGCTGGAAGCATGCAAAATTTCACATTTGTGACATTCAAATTTTGTTTCTGACCATGGTTTCTAAAAATTCAGCCAAAACTGTACAACTTTTGTATTTACACCTTTTTTCTACCTGTGAAGGTAAAGGAGGTAGGTGGAGTGTCAATATTTAAAAAAACACCCTGTACAAATAAGTGGAGTATTGCGGAACTTATGGGTGAACCTCTGCGGGACGAGCGTAGCGAGTTCCGCAGCCATCTACTCACCAATATACTGTTGAACTGTTCAAAAAAAAAAACACTCACCTGAAATGTGTATAGTTTTTGAACTAATGAGAAAAAATTATAACTGAGTGAATCAGGTTAGTATTGTACTTGAACAATATATTGGTGAGTAGATGGCTCCACCCTAAGTTCCACAACAATCCACTCGTATGTACTTGAATAACTTATCACAATATATTACTAGTTTGGTAAAGTAACATTACTAATTCCTGTTGAAAGGCGAATTACCAAAAAGTGGAAAATCTTACAAATTCTGACATTATATATTAAGTTATTTTTCAAGTAGAAATAAGTGGATTGTTGCGGAACTTATGGGTGGACCTCTGCGGGACGAGCGCAGCGAGTTCCGCAGCCATTAACTCACCAATATACTGTTGAATTGTTCAAATAAGACATTCACCTGAAACGTGTAGTTTTTAAACTAATGAGAATAACTCACATGTGAGTGAGTCAGATTAGTATCGTAATTGAACAACAAATTGATGAATAGATGGCTGCGGAACTCGCTGCGCTCGTCCCGCAGAAGTCCACCCATAAGCAGTGTTACCAGAGGAAATAAAAAAAATTCATGAGATTTTTCATTCTCGATGAAAAATCGTGAGACCTAAAATTGCTTGCAAGAAAATAATGCACAATGTTCTTCTATAGATTTTTGATAAAGTAGACATGATTTTACATCCATAAGAAATAGAAATTTTAATATTAAATCTTGTATCCTTGTTTTTCCGTTTTTTAGCAAGTGTTTCTGAGAGCTAAACCTCGTTTTCATCATCGGCAGGATTGCTTATCCTAAAAAGGCGTACGTTCGCCAATTCTCGAGTCGGCAGCTGGTCTGCGAGTGACGTCACCACTATCGGCAACTGATAGTGGTAATGTCACCCGCAGACCTCGATGGATTGCGTGCAATTCAGGCTATGCTTGTGAGTTATTTTTTTTCGAAATATTAAATTAAGAAAAGGCGATTTTTACGTTTATGAATTCGTTTTTTGGACTTGGATAATGCATTTTCTGCCAAGTGTTGAGGTCTGAAGCTGACGTCACAAATAATGAGGTCTCAAGCTGACGTCACAAATAATGAGGTCTCGTGGACTTCGCAGACACAGCTCAATAAGCAGTCCTATTAGAAAAACAAACGGCAGGTTAACTCTTACGCGCATCTCTTCTGCGCACTCCGCCATTCGAGGATACAGCCTATCTTTGAAATTTAAATGGCAGAACAATGAAAAATGAGATTTAACGCCCATCTCATTTGAGCATGCCGCCATCTTGGGATACAAAGCTCGGGTTAGCCTGCTGATATATTTTTGAATATGCCGTGCTATTAGGTTAAGTGTTCTTGGGCGCGCATATACCAGGAGCGGCGTAACATAACTAAATATTGTATGGTAGATTTTTATTTCGATTATTTCCGATTACATTATATTTCATTACTGATTTGTATTACTGCAGAGAGAATTCGTGAGAATTGCTACCTCATTCGTGAGATCGTGAAATTCCGACCAAAATCATGTAATCTTACAAATAATTGTGAGATCTGGCAACACTGCCCATAAGTTCCGCAACAATTCACTCATTTGTACTTGAATAACTCTTCACATTATATTACTAGTTTAGTAAAGTAACATTACTAATTCCTGTCAAAAGGCGAATTGACAAAAAGTGAATAATCTTACAAATTTTGACTTTATATAAGTTATTGTTCAAGTAGAAATAAGTGGATTATTGCGGAACTTATGGGTGGACCTCTGCGGGACGAGCGCAGCGAGTTCCGCAGCCATCTAGTCACCAATATACTGTTGAACTGTTCAAGTAAGACATTTACCTGAAAAATGTAGTTTTTAAACTACTGCAAAAAAAACTAACTCATATTTGAGTGAGTCAGGTTAATATCATAATTGAACAACATATTGATAAATAGATGGCTGGAGGTCCATCCATAAGTTCCGCAACAATTCACTCATTTGTACTTGAATAACTTGTCACATTATATTACTACATAGAGGAGCACCTAATTTTTAATTAGAGGCCCTAATTAGCACCTAAAAAGCACTTAATTATTATATAGATCCCGAAGTTTTTTTGCCATTCTGACACACCAACAAGTAGACGTAAAGACAGCAGTCCCCTAATAATTAAAAAAAATCTGTAACTCAGTTAATAATTAATCAATTCTATTTTTTTTTCGACTATTTAGAAGCACCTAAAAAGCACCTAATTTTGATACAAAAGAAATTTTTGGAAAAATATTTTTCACTATAGGGGACTACTAGCTCTCATAAATCTAGCAATCCCTTAGTTTTTTTTGATTTTCACAAAAACTTGGGACTGCTAGGTTTATAGACCTACTGAAGCTGGGTGGAGGATACTGCCGCATTCTAGCGGAAGAGTGCAGAAATGTTCTGCTATTTCAACAGTCTCAATACACACGGACGGATCGAAAACCAGTAACCAGTATAAGTACCTCCCTTGGTGTCCACACTTCCAGGCGGAATTGATTACGGTCATCCAGGGAGCCAAGAAATCGACGACGAGTGCGATTTCTAACGGATGGTAAATCCATGCTGTCGGCCCTTGACAGCGTTAGAACAAACTCAAAGCTGATTATACAGTGTATAGAGGCTCTACAAGAACTCGCACAAAAGAACATCGTTGGACTCTGCTGGGTCAAAGGGCACGATAACAACGCAGGCAATGAAGAAGCTGGCGATCTTGCCAGAGCAGCTTCAGGGAAGGCCCCGATGGGACCTCAACCCATGATCCCTCTCTGTCAGCTAACACTTTCATTGCCAAGGTTAAACGAATCACTCGTTCAGAGCACGCCAAAATGTGGCGCAGTTTAGGCACTTTTTGCCGAGTATAGTTGTCGAGGGAAAACCTCCGCCCACTGGTAGGAATTTACTCAGGACACTGTAGATTAAATTAACACCTTTACAACTTGTTGAGACCCCCGGAGAGGAGAATGCGCCTTAACAAATGGAGATGACACAAAGGGCCTATAGTGAGGTAACTCATACCCTCCATTGCAACTATCCAGATCCAGCAACCAAAGCTCAGTTTTGCAAAGGGCTGAAATACCTTGAAGAGACGCGTCTAACTCCCCATATAACCGAAAAAGCTTGCTTGTTTTGGAGGAATCTCACAAATCCAGAAAAAGAACTGTGCAACGAACTTTTATAAACAAACATCCTAAATGACATATTACCTGTAATACTGGAAAGGTATCCAAGGTCCATCATCACTACTCCTCTTCGAAATATAAAAACTATCAGGCCTGGGCGAATTGAACCACAACCGAATGTAGGTGATATCGAACGTCTTGCCAAATCTCAGAGTCAAATTGACTTGGTTGGGCCACTGGATACCTTCGAGCATAGTTTCGGATTGCCACCATGTGGGGTTGTCCACGTTGTGGATGTCGGTCAAAAACCGGGCGTGGTGCTGGCCTGGAAAGCAAACGGCGCACGATTTCCGGATTCCTGTGACACCTGTCTGGACGCAGTACTCTTGTTCGCCGTCGGTACCGCACGTGTTGGTCGCTTCCATTTCCATTTGGAAGGCGGCGTTTTCGAAGGCAGGATAACATCTCTGAAAATGGATTAAGTAATATAAATCAAACATTGGAATCTATAAATATTAATATAAAAATTGTATAGTACAGCTCTGGATTTGGAATAAAAACGTTGATTGGCTTCGCATAATAACAACACCATCTGTGTTTATACTGTGGGAAAAATTAATTTAGGAATCAGATGTGAGGAGGATGAAATCATCGACTTTTGGATTGTGCTAGAGAAATTTTAAAAATCATAAATCGCTTTAAAGGTACAATAACGTGTGGTACTGTTGCACGTGCAAGGTTTTTGACCTGCATTCGACTTCCTAGTAAAAGCCTTTTTGAATATCGCCGTGTCCGATATAAGAATAGCCTCACAACACAACGGTATTAAATAGAAGTTAGCTTAAAAATAATTCCTCCAAATCATTATAAAGGCGTTTATAGATTCAAGATGTTTGTCGCACAAATGTGTTAGTTTATGTAATTCAATTAAACCCAAACCAGGGATGGGCCCAAGTAGATTTTGTACAAAAGTACCATTTGGTACCTACCTGAGGTGCGTTGAATTGGTCATAGCATTTGGCTCCCTTTATACCTATTACCGGGGTTTGAGTGTGGTCAGTCTCTTGATGGACCAACTGGCCTCCGCATTGTTTGAAGGCAAAGATTAAAGCGGACAGTTCTAGGAACAGCCACATTTTTTCGTTTTGTTGCTTTTGTACACAAACCTGAAACATGAGAGAGGAAAAGGTAGATTTTTGTATTAGAGTTATTCTGAAGAGAATTTAGTTTTGATAAAGGTTAAGTTGCCAATTTCAATGGAATTGCCTACAATTATATATTATTAGAAAGAGGATTAAATTCTCTATAAGCCTATGTAAAATTGGTTTTTGTAACTTGTAAAGTTTCCAAGATATCGAGCTTCAAAGTTGAAATGTAGTCGACATTTTGTTCGAAACTTCAAATTCGATTTTCTCAGAAACTATCAACGCTACCGATTTTATACCTGAATACCATTTTGAAGGTCTTATCGAAAGCTGGAATTCTTGAAAATGTTGTCCCAGTACCGCTCTTGGTTACCAAGATAATGAAGTTCGAATATTTGCAAATTGAAATCCAAAGGGGTTTTATCCTTGGGAAAAAAATTGAAAATTTTAATTTTTGGATTTTTCCTAATTTTTACTTTTCAAATCGATAGGTCAAGTCCAAATTAGTCAAAAACGACCCTAACATCAGCTACATATGAAAATTTCGATGAGAAAAAAAATTTAAAAGGAAATCTCATTTTTGGCTCTGGAAATTTTTGGGAGTCTTGATATACTCATGAATAATGGCTTATATCTTCGATGAAACTTCAGAAAATTGCCTACAATTATACATCATTGGAAAGAGGATTGAATTCTCTATAAGCCTATGCAAAATTGGTTTTTATAACTTGTAAAGTTTCCAAGATATCGAGCTTCAAAGTTGAAATTTAGACGACATTTTGTCCAAAACTTCATACTCAATTTTCTCAAAAACTATAAATGCTAGCGATTTCAAATAAATTCCATCTTGAAGCCCTTATCAAGAGCTACAATTCCTGAAAATTGTATTCCAGTACTGCTTTTGGTTACCGAGATATCGCAATTTGAAGATTTGTAAATTGAAATCGAAAGGGGGTACCTATTCTTAGAAAAAAATGCAAAAAATTGAAAATTTTTATTTTTGCATTTTTCTCAATTTTGACTTTTTAAATCGATAGAGGGAGCCAAAATTAGTCAGAAACAATTCTAACATCAATTGGATTTGAAAATTTCAATGACAGAAAAAATCCAATAAGGAAATCTCATTTTTGGCTCAGACATTTTTTGAAATCTTGACATGCTCATGAATAATTGCTCATTTCTTTAATGATATTTGAGCAAATTGCCTATAATTATACATCATTGGAAAGAGGATTAAATTCTCTATAAGCTTGTGCAAAATTGGTTTTTGTAACTTGTAAGGTTTCCAAGATATCGAGCTTCAAAGTTGAAATTTAGTCGACATTTTGTGCAAAACTTCAAGCTCAATTTTCTCAAAAACTATAAACGCTAGCGATTTCAGATAAATACCATCTTGAAGCCCTTATCAAGAGCTACAATTCCTGAAAATTGTATCCCAGTACTGCTTTTGGTTACCGAGATATTTCAATTTGAAGATTTGTAAATTAAAATCCAAAGGGAGTATCCTTAGAAAAAAATGCAAAAAATTGAAAATTTTTATTTTTGGATTTTTCTCAATTTTGACTTTTTAAATCGATAGAGCGAGCCCAAATTAGTCAGAAACAACTCTAACATCAATTGGATTTGACAATTTCAATGACAGAAAAAATCCAATAAGAAAATCTCATTTTTGGTTCAGATATTTTTTGAAATCTTGACATGCTCATGAATAATTGCTCATTTCCTTAATGATATTTGAGCAAATTGCCTACAATTATACATCATTGGAAAGAGGATTAAATTCTCTATAAGCTTGTGCAAAATTGGTTTTTGTAACTTGTAAGGTTTCCAAGATATCGAGCTTCAAAGTTGAAATTTAGTCGACATTTTCTCCAAAACTTCAAACTATAAATGTTAGCGATTTCAGATAAATACCATCTTGAAGCCCTTATCAAGAGCTATAATTCCTAGAAATTGTATCCCAGTACTGCTTTTGGTTACCGAGATATCGCAATTTAAAGATTTGTAAATTAAAAATCCCCTTAGAAAAAAATGCAAAAAATTGAAAATTTTTATTTTTGGATTTTTCTCAATTTTGACTTTTTAAATCGATAGAGTGAGCCCAAATTAGTCAGGGACAACTCTAAAATCAATTGGATTTGGAAATTTCAATTACAGAAAAAATCCAATAAGGAAATCTCATTTTTGGCTCAGACATTTTTTGAAATTTGGACATACTCATGAATAATTGTCCATTTCTTTAATGATATTCGAGCAAATTGCCTCTAATTATACATCATTGGAAAGGGGATTAAATTCTCTATAAGCCTATGCAAAATTGGTTTTTGTAATTTTTAAAGTTTCTAAGATATCGAGCTTCAAAGTTGAAATTTAGTCGACATTTTGTCCAAAACTTCAAACTCAATTTTCTCAAAAACTATAAATGCTAGCGATTTCAAAAAAATACCATCTTGAAGCCTTTATCAAGATCTACATTTATTGAAAATTTTATTCAAGTTTTGCTTTTGATTAGCGAGAAATCGCAATTTAAATATTTGCAAACTAAAATCCAAAGGAGGTACCTTTAGGAAAAAAGGGCAAAAGATTAAAAATTCTTCTGATGATCTCCTTTGGAAAGATTTCTTAGTGATTCGAGAGTCAGTCAGTACTGATAAAAAATTTGAATTTTCGGCTTCTGATTTCTTCTGGAGAAGTTTTCTAGTGATTGGAACGCCGATAATAATCAAAATTTGAGTTTTTTCGAGAAATTTTCTACCTAATCAAGAGACTGTTAATAATCGAATTCCAAAATATTCGAGAATATTACACTAAGAACCAAATTGTCTTACTACCCTGTACCTTCAATTCAAATTTGCCTTGTACGTGAAAAGAATATTATTAGGAATACTACTACCCTATGAACATTCCTGTTATATGCGCAACGATACATGCCTATTCCCAGAAGTTACCATGTGCATAACATGTGTCAGGAATGTGGGTATATAATATTTGAAGCTGAACTTCAAGAAAACATGTAAATTGGTTTAATATAGGGTGAATTCAATAGAAAATTAGGAGATTCGATATAGAACTTACGTAGAAAGCTTATAGGAATTAAGCCCTGCTTATTTTTACGAGAAATACTTACCTAAATTAAATAAATGCTTTCCAATAAAATTACAATTTTGCTCCTAAAACAATCAAATAACCACGAACATTTTTTCACTTTAGAAACACCACACAAATTATTGCAGCGACTACATAAAAACTAATGAACGACCAAAGCACATAAAAATTTTGTTATCGCGGCATTTCCGTTCGGAAAACTTTATCGTTGTGTGCCCCGATTTTAAAAGACCTCGCGTACCGAAAACCGAAAGTGTGGTGGTACTACTATAAGAGATGAGGATGCTGTGCTTAAGATTATGTGTTGAGGCTCTGGTTTTCAAACCAGAGACGGACTTTAAATGGAGCTTTTTCATAAAGTAGATCAAGTAAAATTCCTCTTCGGCCCTGGGTTACGAAAATATGCAGCTTCAAAGAAACCCGCCAACCATAATTGTAATGGTTTTATTTTTAGGCCGCGGCTTTGTGATGTTTTGTTGTAGACAAATTTGCATTTTTTTAGACGGGGGCGTAGTTTGATTAAAATGACTATTTCCCTTTTTGATTAGAGCTTCCTTTTACTATTTTTCATTAATTTATTTTAGTTTTGTTATCAGTTTATTACCGAAGTCGTTATTTATTTTTGAGGATCGAAAGGTTATCGTTTAGCCCATTTAATTTTTTGATTAAATTTGATGTTTGTGAGAATTTTTCTCTAAAATACTGAAATTGTCTGCTCATAATATGATCCAGTATCCTTCAGAAATTCCAAATTTCTCTGTTTTTGCTGGAAAATCCGCTTTACAATAAGTTCGGCTAGAACATTTTTTTGCTGGAAATTGTGATTATTACCGGCGTTTAAATCACTAGAAAACTTCTACAGGAGAAATCATGAGCCGATAATTTAGAAATTTAATCATTAATGGCTCTTGAATCACTAGAAACTGTTTCCAAAGGAAATCAAGAGAAGGATTAGATTGAAATTTTGCAAATAGGCAGGAAGAAGATTGAAATTTACGAAAATTTAGTGAAATGTTTCTTTTGCTTACTCTCTTTGATAAAAATGATTCTGAGATTTGAAGCCAGATTCTATGAAAAAAGGCACTCAGCAAAATTGATAAATCACCCCAAATTGCTTTCAGGGATTGTAGCCCTTTGAAAGGGATAAAATTCAGTGAAAGTTTCAGCTTTCTATCTATAGTAGGAAAAAAGTTATGACCTTTCAAAGTTTTCCAAAATCTAAATCATAAGGTAGGTACCTTCTAACTAAAACGATGAAATTTCAAAATTTTTTTTGGTCGAAATTTTGTATCCTAATGGTCAATCAACATCAGGGGCGTAGCCAACAGGGGGGGAGACGGGGGAGCGGAGCCTCTCCCCCAGGGCGCAGCTGGCAAAGGGGCGTCAAAATAGGCAAAGTGCAAAAAACTAAGAAATTGAATCAAAATAAAAATTCAAAAAGTTTGGTGTTTCTATTTTGAAAATCTACAATATACACTTCATTAATATTTTCACCTGAAACTATCTAAGAAAATCAGGAAATCGAATTGGCAATAGATAAAGTCTCATTCAATACATAAGTTAGGTTTTTAGGGCGAATATTAGGCAATATTTCGCGAGGATAATTAAGCATACTCGAGTATGCTGGATAATGGTGATGTGTCAATTGTGTCATACTCCCCTAACTCCCTCTCCATCAAATTCTGAGCCTGCGAGTGACGTCCTACCAGCAGCTTATAATGATGACGTCATCCGCAGACCTCGATGAAATGCTTGCGATTCAGGCTGTGCTAGTGAGTTAATTTTTTCGTCAATTTCAAATGTAGAAAAGCTAATTTTCGGTTTGTTCTCACAGAAGAAATTAAGTGTTCTTGATCCTCGAGTATCCCAGAATTTGATGGTAGGGGAGTTAGGGCAGAATGACACAAATGACACATCACATAATCCAGCAAAAGATTCTGCTTGGTTATCCTCACGAAAAATTGCCTATTATAAAACTATTTTGACAGAATAACTGAAAGTTAACATCAGGAATGACAGAAATGACGTTACTTCTCATTGCAATTCCAGAAGTTAACTTTGAGTTATAAAGTCAGAATAGTTTTATAATACCCGCCCTTAGTGATTCAACATTTTGATCTAACTTTTAATTGAATGAAATTATACCCATATTCACTTAAAATTGGCAAAATTTGGGTGTGGTCACCAATAAATTTTTCTTCACCTTTGGATTGCCTTCGCGGCGCTTAGGGGGCGCCGGATCTCAGTCTTCCCCCTGGGGATTGTCATATCGCTACGGCCCTGATCAACATCCCCCGAACTCCATACACTAAATTATTCTCGGATTTGAAGCAGAAATCTATGAAAAAAGGCACTCAGAAAAATTGAAAAATTGATAAATCACCCCAAATTGCTTAACACGATTTTATCTCAGGAACTATAAGTGCAAATGAGCTGAAATTTCCAGGGATTGTAGTACTTGGAAAGGGATAAAATTCAGTGAAAAATTCAGCTTTCTATCTATAATAGAAAAAAAGTTATCATCTTTCAAAGTTTTCCAAAATCTAAATCATAAGGTAGGTACCTTCTAACTAAAACGATGAAATTTCAAAATTTTTTTTGGTCGAGATTTTGTATCTTAATGGTCAATCAACATCCCCCAAACTCCATACACTAAATTATTCTCAGATTTGAAGCCGAAATCTATGAAAAAAGGCACTCAGAAAAATTTAAAAATTGATAAATCACCCCAAATTGCTTAACACGATTTTATCTCAGGAACTATAAGTGCAAACGAGCTGAAATTTCCTGGGATTGTAGTCCTTTGAAAGGGATAAAATTCAGTGAAAGATTCAGCTTTCTATCTATAATAGAAAAAAAGTTATCACCTTTCAAAGTTTTCCAAAATCTAAATCATAAGGTAGGTACCTTCTAACTAAAACGATGAAATTTCAAAATTTTTTTTGGTCGAGATTTTGTATCCTAATGGTCAATCAACATCCCTCAAACTCCATACACTAAATTATTCTCAGATTTGAAGCCGAAATCTATGAAAAAAGGCACTCAGAAAAATTGAAAAATTGATAAATCACCCCAAATTGCTTAACACGATTTTATCTCAGGAACTATAAGTGAAAATGAGCTGAAATTTCCAGGGATTGTAGTACTTGGAAAGGGATAAAATTCAGTGAAAGATTCAGCTTTCTATCTATAATAGAAAAAGAGTTATCACCTTTCAAAGTTTTCCAAAATCTAAATCATAAGGTAGGTACCTTCTAACTAAAACGATGAAATTTCAAAATTTTTTTTGGTCGAGATTTTGTATCCTAATGGTCAATCAACATCCCCCAAACTCCATACACTAAATTATTCTCAGATTTGAAGCCGAAATCTATGAAAAAAGGCACTCAGAAAAATTGAAAAATTGATAAATCACCCCAAATTGCTTAACACGATTTTATCTCAGGAACTATAAGTGAAAATGAGCTGAAATTTCCAGGGATTGTAGTCCTTTGAAAGGGATAAAATTCAGTGAAAAATTCAGCTTTCTATCTATAATAGAAAAAAAGTTATCACCTTTCAAAGTTTTCCAAAATCTAAATCATAAGGTAGGTAGGTACCTTCTAACTAAAACGATGAAATTTCAAAATTTTTTTTTGTCGAGATTTTGTATCTTAATGGTCAATCAACATCCTCCAAACTCCATACACTAAATTATTCTCAGATTTGAAGCCGAAATCTATGAAAAAAGGCACTCAGAAAAATTTAAAAATTGATAAACCACCCCAAATTGCTTAACACGATTTTATCTCAGGAACTATAAGTGAAAATGAGCCGAAATTTCCAGGGATTGTAGTCCTTGGAAAGGGATAAAATTCAGTGAAAAATTCAGCTTTCTATCTATAATAGAAAAAAAGTTATCATCTTTCAAAGTTTTCCAAAATCTAAATCATAAGGTAGGTACCTTCTAACTAAAACGATGAAATTTCAAAATTTTTTTTGGTCGAGATTTTGTATCCTAATGGTCAATCAACATCCCCCAAACTCCATACACTAAATTATTCTCAGATTTGAAGCCGAAATCTATGAAAAAAGGCACTCAGAAAAATTGAAAAATTGATAAATCACCCCAAATTGCTTAACACGATTTTATCTCAGGAACTATAAGTGAAAATGAGCCGAAATTTCCAGGGATTGTAGTCCTTGGAAAGGGATAAAATTCAGTGAAAAATTCAGCTTTCTATCTATAATAGAAAAAAAGTTATCATCTTTCAAAGTTTTCCAAAATCTAAATCATAAGGTAGGTACCTTCTAACTAAAACGATGAAATTTCAAAATTTTTTTTGGTCGAGATTTTGTATCCTAATGGTCAATCAACATCCTCCAAACTCCATACACTAAATTATTCTCAGATTTGAAGCCGAAATCTATGAAAAAAGGCACTCAGAAAAATTGAAAAATTGATAAATCACCCCAAATTGCTTAACACGATTTTATCTCAGGAACTATAAGTGAAAATGAGCTGAAATTTCCAGGGATTGTAGTCCTTGGAAAGGGATAAAATTCAGTGAAAAATTCAGCTTTCTATCTATAATAGAAAAAAAGTTATCATCTTTCAAAGTTTTCCAAAATCTAAATCATAAGGTAGGTAGGTACCTTCTAACTAAAACGATGAAATTTCAAAATTTTTTTTTGTCGAGATTTTGTATCTTAATGGTCAATCAACATCCTCCAAACTCCATACACTAAATTATTCTCAGATTTGAAGCCGAAATCTATGAAAAAAGGCACTCAGAAAAATTTAAAAATTGATAAACCACCCCAAATTGCTTAACACGATTTTATCTCAGGAACTATAAGTGAAAATGAGCTGAAATTTCCAGGGATTGTAGTCCTTTGAAAGGCATAAAATTCAGTGAAATATTCAGCTTTCTATCTATAATAGAAAAAAAGTTATCACCTTTCAAAGTTTTCCAAAATCTAAATCATAAGGTAGGTACCTTCTAACTAAAACGATGAAATTTCAAAATTTTTTTTGGTCGAGATTTTGTATCCTAATGGTCAATCAACATCCTCCAAACTCCATACACCAAATTATTCCCAGATTTGAAGCCGAAATCTATGAAAAAAGGCACTCAGAAAAATTGAAAAATTGATAAAATCACCCCAAATTGCTTAATACGATTTTATCTCAGGAACTATAAGTGCAAATGAGATGAAATTTTGAGGGATTGAAGTCCTTTGAAAAGGATAAAATTCAGTGAAAGTTTCAGCTTTCTATCTATAATAGAAAAAAAGTTATCATCTTTCAAAGTTTTCCAAAATCTAAATCATAAGGTAGGTACCTTCTAACTAAAACGATGAAATTTCAAAATTTTTTTTGGTCGATATTTTG